GTGTATTTTATTTACTTGCTTGCTATTTTTGGTGTATCTGTTATTGATTTCTGCTTTGTGTTTACCATGAGGATTAAAATATCTTGATTATAACAAGCTATTTTGAAATGATAGCAGAGCAACTAATCATGGTGATATGAAAAGAAATGAAAAAGGAAAAAATACTAATAAAAACTGAACTTGCACTCCATTCTTTCCCACATTTTCAATTTTTGGTGTACCATTTTACACATTTCTATATTGCTAATTTCTTAACATATTAATATAGTTTTAATTTTTTGTTTTCATTCTTCATATTAAAGTTATAAATCTTTTATGTACTATGTTTATAATATTGAAGCATTCTGTATTTATTTGCATAATTCCTCTGCTAGTGAGTTTTATGACTTCCAATATGTTCTTCTTACTAGCTTCTCTTCCTTTTGAAGATATCCTTTTAGCATTTCTTGTAGCACAGGTCTGATGGTGATAAATTCTCTCAGCTTTTGTTTCGGATTGTTTTTATCTTTTCTTTGCTGGGTGAGCATGACAGTTTTTTTTTTAATTTAGTTGTCAATGGACCTTTATTTTTAATTTATATGCAGTGCTGAGAATTGAACCCAGTGCCTCCCACATGCTAGGCAATGCTCTACCACTGAGCCACAACCCCAGCCCTGATGATTTTTTTTTTCTTTCAGTACTGTGCAAATCATATACCACTCTTTCTGGACTGTAAGATTTCTTCTGAGAAGTCTGATTTCAGGTGAATTGAGATGTTCTCATTTGTTATTAGTCTTTCTCTTGTTGTCTCAGGAATTTTTCACCTTTGGAACTTGATTATGTCTTGTGGTAGAATTGTTTGAACTAGTTCTAACTTGTGACCATGTATGGACAGTTGTATCTTTCTCTGGGAAGTTTTCTGTTATATCTTTGATTAAGCTTTCTACCCTCCATGGCATTCTCAAATTGCTTTTTAACCTTAACAATTAAAAATTCATTCAAAGCCATCCACAATTTCCTGTAAGCTTTCTTCATTTATCTCCAGTCCTTTTTCTATCTTCAGGCTCTCTACTTCTCTCCTCTGTTTGATCTATGCTTCTACTGATGTCTTCTATCACATTTTAAATTTCACTTAATGTATTTTTCAACTCAATTTGCTTGATTTTTAAAATATTTCTGTCTCTATTTTGAATTTTTCTATCAGACTATTACATAATTTCTTTCTTTTTTGAAGTTCATTGTTTCCTTAAAACAACTATTTTTAATTCTTTGAGAATTTTCAGATATCACATGCTAAATGGTCAATTTCTAGAGCCTGATTTTATTTAGTAAGTAAAGTCATGATTCCTTGTAAGTTTTTGATGAGTGTTGGTATATGTATCACCTGTGTTTTGAAGGATTAGGCACTTTTTCAAGTTTTCATAATCTAGTTTTATTTGTACTTGTCCTTCCAGAAATTCTAAGTAGTGTCATTTTCTCTGAGCTTGTGGCTATTTTCACTATTTCAGTACTAGAGGGTACACCAAGTCTAGTTTGTCCCAAATCTGTAGTTAGTGTCTTGTTCAGAATGAATTGAAAGAGTATTTGCAAAGGATAGTTCATTGTCACAAATTTCTACCTGAGGCTGGAATTGACCCTGATGCTTCATCCACAGTCAAAAGCCTAAGGTCAGTTTGTATAAGATTCTACCTGGCTCTGAGCCTCATTGGGAGTTAGGCATGTATCAAGTCATATGCAATGACTTGATATTCACCTCTTTTTTCTTTCCCCAAGTAGAGAGTTACTCTCTTCATGTTGTGCTGAGATTGGAGGCTGGGGACAGGGAATGGGATGGGCAGTCCCATGGCCACTAATGATGCAAAGCTAGATCACTCCTGAAGCCCATACCCTGCCAAGATCATTGCAGCATGTGGATAGAATAAAGGCCCACAATACTATGGGCAACCTGCTGTTGAGGTGAGCTTGCCACCCAATACTACTGCAACATATCCCAGGCTGGGTTATAAGTCCAACTGAGAGAGACCATGGGTTTTCACCTAGCACTGAGTTATGTTCATAGATTCTACTCACATGTACTGGCCTGGGATCTACCCAAAGTTTTTACCAGCCTTGAATGAAGTTCCAAGACACACTCCTGTGCTCACTTTCCTGACCTGTTCCCCTGACATTGGAGTCTTAGTCCTTGCTGTCTTCCAGAGTTTAGGGTTGGTTTGATGGAAGTCTCTTGGTGCTCAGGCTGACACTAAGCTGGGTCACACCATAGTCTCATAGCCTTAACAATGGTTGTATTTCCTAGGCCCATATGTGGCTGGAGGTGATGCAGGCTGAATTACCAGAGCACAAGCCCCTGACTAGTGCCAGGACTTATAAAGAGTCTCTGTGAATTCTGTTCTGGAGATAGGGGCTTCTAGGATTTAGTTAGTGCTGGGTCTCATTATAGAAGGCCTCACACAGGTCAAAAGCAAAGTCTTGTGCTATCTTGTCTTATTCCATAGTGGGTGGAGTTAGCTCATTGCTCTGCTGCCCAAAGTTGGGAGAGGAGTAATGGAAGCAGTCCTTTGGCTTCCTGGCAAAGGAGGGTCCAATGCTCAGTCAACTACTGGACTTAACTGTGGTACTGAATTCTAAATCAAAGGTCTGGACTTAATTCCCTTTCCCTCTCCCAAGTGGGAGATGTCCCTCTTTTTTGCTACTTGGAAGTTGGGGAGGAGTGACACAGGCAACTCTTTCCTCCCTGCCTTCATCATTGCTTCTTTTCTGATTATGCTAATACCAGGCACCATGGTATCTCACCTGGCTTCTTTAGCTTTTGTGAAAATGGATTGATGCATTAATCACTGAAAATTGGTGTTTCTTTAGGGAGGTGATTGCTGGAACATCTTACTCAGCTGCCATCTTGCTCCCAGTATGTTAATTAAATTTTTTATCTTAGCATTTCATTTTGAATAATTTCTGTTGCTATGATTTGGGGCTTAGTAATCTTTTCTCCATTTTATTTTAAAATTTTTGATAACATATAATAATCAAATTCAGCTATTGCAGGATTCTACCTGGCTCTGAGCCTCACCATGGAGGGACCAACCCAACTCTCCTGTGCAATGACTTGGTGCCCACCTCCCTTTTCTTCCTCCAAGTTTGTGAAATATCACTGTGATATTTCAACACATGTGTAAAGCATGCAGTTATCAAATCATCTCCTTATCATTTCCTTTTGAGCTCCTCTCCTCGTTTTTCAAGCAAAATATAACAGGTTATTATAAGCTACAGTCATACCACTATGCTGTGGAACACTAGAGCTTATTCCTTCTATTTGTGTGTTGGTACCAATTATTCAACCACTCTTTATCTTCCCTCCTTTCAAACCTTTACAACCTGTGGTAGTCACATTTTTACATTCTGATTGGCTTTTTAGCTCTCACGTATGAAAGAGAGAACATGCAGTATCTTTTTGTTGTTTTGGCTTATTTAATTTAAAATAATATCATTCAGTCCCATTATCAACTTTGCTGAAAAAGACAGGATTTTATGCTTCTCTATAGCTGAATAATATTTAGTTGTGTATCTATACCATATTTTCTTCATCCATTCTTCCTTCAATGGGCACCTAAGTTGACTCATTATCTTGGCTATTGTGAACAGTGCTACAGTAAGGCTTAATATTATTTTCTTCTGCAATGTCCAATTTATTGCAAGGTCTAAAAACTAGTCTGAGGGTCTGGGGTCGTGGCTCAGTGGTAGTGTGCTTACCTAGAATGTGTGAGGCACTGGGTTCGATTCTCAGCACCATATACAAATAAATAAAATAAAGGTCCATCAACAACTAAAAATATATTTTAAAAAACTAGTCTGGGAATGAGTGAAATGCAGATAGAAAAGGGTCTGTTGAACTTGTATAGTGGATTAAATAGATACAGACTATTTGGTTAGTGGAAACAAACTACTATCTGACACGTGATGGAACCCATAGTCCTTCTTGGGAAGCAAGCCTGAAACCAATGTCTATCAAAATTTACCAGCACTTTTATCATATTACTTATTCTATAATATCACTTATTAGTACTCAGTGAAAGATAATGCCATATAATAAAATTATTAGTGCAAATGAAAGTTGGATATTTTCCACTTGAATTTCTGATTTTTCTTTTTACAAAGAAAAAACTCTGAAATAGAAGATAATATTTAAACATTTCAATAAGTGTAAAAAATAGTTTCTTGCAAGATTGCCAAAGTAATTCCAGGATGATGGATTGTGAGAACAGAGAACTTATGCTTCATTTTTAACTAGACATGGATGCTACTCCATCTATTGTGAGAAAAAATATTTTAATGTCATGTATTAAAACAATTTTAATGAGTTTGTTTGTAATGTTTAGCAGTTCTGATTAGAAGGTAACCAACACAGGATATATTTTTTTTAAAAAACTTAGAAAGGTATTAAATGTCTTTCCATTTCTTAATTTCCATTTCCTCTATTTCCCATTATAGCAAAGTGGTATACATTACTATTTCTGCAGTAACAAAGTAATTACCAGGGCACAAACCAATAGCTGAGTACATTACTTTGAAAAAATTACCATGGAGAAGTTTGGTAGATACATTTTATTATTTGATATGAATGTAAGTTGACATGTAGAATTCATTTTTCTCATTTTGTTCTAAATAGAATTTGAAAATGCTATTTTCTCATAACTCCAAAAAATTTGGAAAATATTCATTTGAAAAATTAAGGCAGGAAATAGTTTCCACAGAGATTCTAGTTTTGCATATCAATGGAAGTGTTTTTGTTTCTAAAATTATGAATTTTAAATATACATATTCCCTAAGGGAAGAAAATCTCCTCTAATGTCACAGTGGATTTCTTGAATATTAAAGGCAGTTCTTTTGCTATTAGGCAAAAGTTTTAAAGAATTTCTACCAAATGAGTTTTACTTTTAACTAAGAGCTGAGATACCTAACAATTACTACATTTGATGTAACTTGTTTTAGAACTTCCTTAAGTGGAGAAAAGGCACAAAAATAGACTAATTGATTAGGAAGTGTTGAATTGCAACAGCACACAGAATGGCAACAAGTGCAAATCCTATCACAAGGATTAGAACAAATGTATCGTCACTCATCTCTATTCTGTGCTTTTCATCTTTCTCTTCACTAGGGTTGTTTCCTCCCTTTCCTCCCCCACCTTTACCAGGCCCCTGCTGTTGCTTATGAGTTGAGAAAAGAGTGCTGGGACTATATGGTCCCCAGATTTCTTGCATCCCAGCAGAATTTTGATATTGGCGTCCAGCACAGACCCTGAAGCGATAATGTGAATTTGTGAGGAAGTTGGAAAAGGAGAATGAAGTGTTCGGTCCTTTGTAAATCTAAAGGAAAAAAAAAGTTAAAATGAAAATTATTCATTTATCTATCTAACTGTGTACCTATATTTTTGATAACAGGAAAGATATGAATCTATTCATTTCAAGAACATTTTCACAACAAAATTAAAAATTCACTCTATTTTCTAATGTTTTAAGAGCATTCAGAATTATTTAGGTTGTTTTGTTCAATGTATGAAATAATAAAAATTTATAATTGTTAAAATTAATTGCATTAGTTTAGAATTGAGTCACTGATTGTGGTCAGTGGAATCAAGAAATACCAAATAATTCAATAGTAATTAGCTAATTAAATGATCAAGCTATTTGTCTAAAATAAGCATTATGTACATAACCATTAGGGAGGATGAACTGGGTAAGATTTAGTTACTTCAAGCATCTTTAAAGAATATCATACTCCTTGACAAAAGTGCAATCCTTAACATGATATAAAACTATAAATTTTTGAAGAATAAATTTGCAAGAATTTACCAATTCAGTTCCTTTTTCACTTGTCAGCTGAAGACTGTAAACAATGGGATCTCCTTTTATTGGTTCCAAAGATTCCCATTTGATGTCACAAATATTGTTATTCTGGTGATGTAATTTAGGTGCTAAAAAAAGAAAAATTCAATTTATAGGATTCCATTTTTTTCTAGATGATCTTGGATACACTGAAATTTGTCATACAATTCTAAGACCATTAAACGGCAGCCCATATAGACTTAATTAAAAATACATAGATACATTTATTATTTTAACTATACCACCACTATTTCATCAGGCATCTTAATCACTAATAAAAAATTTAAGAAACTAAAACTATCAATTGATAATACATACTTTTTTAGTTTTTCTATTAAGATGTGTTTACAACTTTTGTTATTTTTGTTTATTCCCTTCTGGTACAATCTCCTGCATTGTATTTCTATTGGACATTTTACATTTGGAAGCATTTTCATATACATTTGAAAGCAACTGTGGGCAGGCTGTTTATTTTACATTATTAATCTTACTTTTTGTGAAAATGAGGCTTAAATATATAGGGATGTTGTTCAGGAAGAGGGGAAGGTATTACTGTGGTCTAAATCATACTTAATTCCAATATGTTCTAGTTATAACACTTTACTATGAAGAAAAATGGTTTAATAATAGTGATAAAACTCATGTGCATGGATTAGAACAACTAAATTTCACAACTGAGAAGGAAAAAATCCTCAAATCCCAGGATCTACAGACTAAATTAGACTCATTGTTATGTATTTTGTTTTACTGTTCAAATCAGGAGAGTGAATTTAGAATTTCTGAAATAAACTAAGGTTACAGGGCCTTATTTTTTTAGCTCTCAATTGATAAGTCATGTAATTAACCATTTGAGAAAGTAAAAGGTACACCAAGGAATTGATATCATGACAAAGCAGAAGGAGCACTGTTATGGGAATCAGAAGCCTACAATCCAATCTTGACTCTGCCACTGATCCTGAGTGCCCTTTAACTAAATTACTTACCATTTGAGGGACTTAGCTTCTTTCTCTTAAAAATAGTAGTGGTGGTAGAGTGGTTGGCTGGATTACATGATTTCTAAGGTATTTAAAAATATGGATTTTTGGAGTCTCATTAAATTCTACATTTGTGTTTCAAATCCATAATTAAATACTGGTCTCTTTTGGTATTATATTACTGAATTTAAATAATCAGTGCTACTAAATTTTATATATGAGCTACTAGAACTCAAATTAAGCAACTTTCAGTGTTATGGCAAATAATACTTACCTTTAAGTGTGGGTGGTGGGGCTTTGGTTGTAGTGAAAGTATAGGGGCCAGAAAGTGGTCCCTTGCCAGCCTCATTACATGCCTGAATTTTGAATTTGTATTGAGTATATTCACCCAATCTGTGCACTTTGTGAGTTTGACAAGGCCCATGGTAAATGATAGAGAATCTGGGAGGGAATGGAGATGGTGGAAGTGATATTATTAATCACCTGTTACATGTACAAGTAACTGTTTATATAAGTAACTTAAAACCTTTTAAAAACCTCAAAAAGGCCTAAGGAAAGCAACTTAAAGCCAGAAAGATGAAATACAATGGGGAAAAAAGCAGATCATAAATATAATGACAAGGTTTTGGTTTTCTTTCTTTCCATACCTTCTATTCCCTGGTATTTAAAGTATGTTAGGTAAATGAAAAAGTGCTTTGGAAGAGGCAAAAATAGAGAGCTGAACTATGAGAAAAAAATTTATGGTAATGGGTTACTTTTACATCTAATTAGTTCATTGCAACCACTAAGGATTATAGGATTAAGATAATAAAAATTTAAACCATTTTATTACAATATATGTATAGAAAAATAGTTTACCTGCCAGAACGATCTGCCATTAACAAGTTATAGCTTATAAGGTTGGAAAGTAGTCTTTTGTTTGAAGTGTTACCCCATTTCAGTTTGAGGCTCTGATGTCCATAGACCACACAATCAAGATGTGGAGGCTCAGGTGGTAGTGGCTTGGTTTTGGTTCTTATTGATTGGCTAAAAGGACTTAGTCCATAATGATTGATAGCTTGAATTCTGATTCTAGTGTTAAGAGAAAAAATTAAGATATTTTCACTTATATACTTACATTTAGTAAAGAAAATAATTTTCTACATATATGCTAAATCCCTAGTAACCCTATATAGGATATTGACCATGATATTACACTATCAGAGACAAATTTTCAAATCAAAACTCTTAAATTTGCATAATCACTATTGAAAATTATTGATGAGAAAGAAACTGGCTCTTAATAAAGCCAAATTTCTCCAATGTAGCAGAATACTTTTCAAAAAAAATCGTATATAGATTAAATAAAATATACAAAATATAGATAACGCTCAAAATTCTCAAAGCTCTTTCCATTCACTCAAAGTAAGATATAAATGACTTACTTATATGTGGTGTCAGGCTGTAGATTTTTTAGAAGAAACTCTGTTACTCTACCAACATTCAAGATTTTTCTATCTCCATATTCAATATTATATCCAGTGATAGGAGAGCCATGGCAATCTGGTTCCTCCCATTTAATAGCAAGGCAGGATGATGCCAGTTTGGCAGGAACTTTGTTTTCAACTTCATGTAACATTGGCACTACTGCTGGCACAGTTGCTGGTGTGGTTACTACGCCAGTTCCTCCAAACATTCCAACTCCGACTATATTTACAGCCTGAAAATGTATATGCTTCGTTAGAGATTCATTATTACTTCGTTTTGTGCATAAACCATGTTGTTACATAATGAAATAAATTTCCATAAACTCAGATGCAAACAATATGGTTCTAAGTTGCTGAAATATGTAAAGGAACTTTTAAGTTGCATAATCAGGAAGGCAAAGAGTGTATATAAGGGAAGATAAGTGAAGAGTGTTAATATGGACACTTCAGAAAAAAAATGTGCTAAAATGGAACCACCACACCAAACCTTTTTTTCCCTTTTGTTCCTATTGTACTTTCTATTTTTGTTGGTGGTAGCTAGACGTTCATATCCATTCAACAAATTTCATGGATTTTTGTAAAATCTTTTTATTTTGAGATCATTATAAATACACATATACCCTTTACCTACTTTCCTCCAAACATAATATTTTGCTTATTTGTAGTATGATGTTACAACCAGGTAATATTTAATTTTGTAAGAAATTGCCATACTCTTTTCTAGAGGGGCTGTAATTACCATCAGAAATATATGAGCGATCCAGTTTCTTTGTTCCTTGACAGTATTTGGTGTTATGACTGTGCCTTAGTTTAGCTGTTTTTTTTTTTTTTTTGTGTGTGTGTGTGTGGTGGTGGGAGGTTACCAGGGATTGAATCCAGGTGTGCTTAACCACTGAGCCACATCCCCAGCCATATTTATACATACACATATAGTTTGTTTTATTTTTTTAGACAGGGTCTTGGCTAAGTTACTTAGGGCCTCACTAAGTTACTGAGGCTGGCTTTTGAACTTGCAATCCTCCTGCTTTTTAGCCTCCAAAGCTGCTGGGATTACAGGTATGTGCCACCTCACACCCTGCTTAATTCAGCCATTCTGATAGGTATGCCAACACATCTCATTGTGCATTTAGTTAATAATTGGATGTCTTTTCATGTGCTCATTTGCCATCTGTATATCCTCTTCTATGAATTATTTGTTCATGTCTTCTGCTCATTTTCTAACTGGGTTCTTTGAATTTTTGATTGTTGAGTTTTTAGAGTCCTTCCTCAACCTCTTTTTACTACTTTTGGTCTCTTACAAGTAAAGGTGCTATGATAAGTCATACACAGTGTCTTTGTGTGGACTTAAGTTTTCATTTCTCTGGCATATGTGCCCAAGAGTACCTCATTAATATGTACAGATTTTAAGTTTTTATGTATCAGCTTAAATTTATTAAATTAAAGAGAAAAAAACAAGAAGTTTGCATAGCAAGCAGGGGGACATGGGTTGATCTGGAGGAGCAATGCTCATGGAAATAAACCATAATCTGGCAAAAAATGGAAATGGACATTAGACCTAAACAGATATTTTTCAAAAGAAGGCACACAAACAGCTAACATATATATGAAAAATGCTAAACAAACATAATAATCAGGGAAATGCAAATCAAAACCACAATGAAATTTCACCTCATCCCACTAAGAATAGCTATTAATTAAAAGACAAAACATAGTGAGTGGTGATTAGGATGTAGAGTAAAGCAAACCCTTATGCATTGTTGGTGGGAATTGTTACATTGTTAGTGTAGCCATTGTGGAAAACAATATAGGTTGCTCAAAAAATTAAAAACTGAATTAACATACAAACAAACAACCCCACTACTATTTATCCAAAGGAAATGAATCAGTATGTCTGCATTCATATTCATTGTAGCACTATTTACAATAGCCAAGAAATGAAAAGAACTTAAGTGTCCATCAAGTAATGACTGGATAAATACAATGTTGTATATATACACAATGGAATACTATTCAGCCATAAAAAGAATGAAATCCTTTCTTTTGTTAAGACATAGATGGAAATGGAGATCATTATGTTAAGTAAAATAAGCCAGGCAGAGTAGGAAAACTACTGCATGATCTCACTCATGTGGAATCTAAAACTGTTGATACCATAGAAATTTAGAGTAGAATGATAGTTACCAGAGGATGGGGAGAGAAGGAAGAGAAAATGTTGATCAATGGGTAAAATAAATAAATAAATAAATAAAATGACATTCAGTTATGAAAGGCAGTGGGAGATGGAGCTTAGATGCCCAGTATTAGAGTTTCTACGGTATTTGGGCACCCCACCTTTTTCTTTACAGTGCTGAGAATTGAACTTAGGGCTTTGTGTATGCTAGGCAAGTGCTCTACCACTGAGTTATGTCCCTAGCTCTCCTAGGGTATTTTGATGACTTAAATTTTATAGGGAGAACATATTGGATTACTTTAAATTTGGACTCTCTCCAAACCTTTAAGTAATGTTTGCTATAATTCTTAGTTCCAACTAAGATTTTCAGGAACATATTAATGCAAAAGTGTTAAGAGACAAAACAGGCAGATAGCACAGTATTATTAATGTAGAAGGTATATTTGGGGGTGGTGATTGAGTTGACTTGCTTGTTCAGAATAAAGATTTTATGCATATTTCCTTAATAATTGTCACTGTGGGTGTTTATTAAATATACCAATTAGCAAAACTTTGAATTAGAAATTTTGGTTCATATCTGAATGGGTTGTAGGAATTAGTGTTTGTAATAAGCATTTCAGGTGATTGCTAAGTTCAGGGAAATTTGAGAAATACAAAATTGTAGAGGAAATAATGACAGATCAAGTTGGAATGAAAGGTAGATGCCAGATGGCATGTGAAGGAGAGCTCAGAATGCTGTTGCTGAATATTAAAAATATTTATGATTTGGAAGTCCTTTCCTCATGGACATGCTTCTGGTCTACACTGAAAATGCTATCAGTATTATAAATGTGGACAGTGTAGGTTAATAGCTATTTCCCATTTACATTGGAGGAAGCATCAGGTTTACCTGGACTCTGCAAAAATAAGTAGTTGCAGGGTTGAGACCTTTAACTTCATAACGCAGACAAGGACCAGTGTAAATCAAATGCATTGATTCTTCATTTTGTCCCCACTCTAGTCTATAATCAGTGATTTCAGCACCATTGCTTTCAGGAATCTATAAGATGTAATGAATACAGAAATTGAGTTCTTCTGTAAGTGGTCACTACATTAGATACTGTGGAGAGCTACAACATGACCTTTTCAATGTTAAAATTTAGAATCAGATGCTATGAGATAGATACATGTAGAAACAAACACAGGCAGGACACTGTAATTTACATTAAAGCGCTCAATAAAATTTAAGTAAAAGGATTTGCTAAATCCCACATATTAGGTGAATGCCTTTTCAAAATTTATTAAAATTATTTTCAAAAGTGTTATTTTAAAAAAGCAAACATATATTAATGTTGTTTAATTAGTATTGGTTAGTGTTTGATGTAATCAGCTATGTAATTTATTATGAACAGACTAAGCTTTTGTGTCAATGCTAAAAACACTTAGTCTGGGATAAGGGAAGAAAAATATAAATATGCTATATGGCTAAACAATTAGGGAAATTCTTAAAAAACAGAGATTTATCAATGAAATTCTTTTTAAAATACTATTTTGTAAATTGATTTAAATTTATTATCTCTTATTTTAAATTTTTTTTAGATGTTGATGGATATTTATTTATTTATTTATTTATTTATATGCAGTGCTGAGAATTGAACCCAGTGCCTCAAACATGGTAGGAAAGTACTCTATCACTGAGCTACAACCCCAGCCCTCTTGTATTGGTTTCAAAAATTCAATTAACTACCTATTGATGGCTTATTTTAGTTTTCTAAATTTATTATTCTCCTTAAATATAGATCTGTAGATCAGGGTTATCATTGTTGTAGTCTTCCTAACACCATTGGCATTAGGTCCTAGATGTTTTCTAGAAACCATGGTCCAAGATCTTTAGGACCCTAATTCTAATATCTAATTTCTTACAGATTTCTAGGCTTTCCAAAAACTTTCTAAATGTACTAATGTGCCTTTCCTTAGCAAAAATGAATAAAAATAAATTGATAACATACTCCCCAACTAACAACAACACAGGTTGAGCCCCTGCAGTTTAGCACAGGTGTACCACAATGAGAAGGAGGGCCTGGGACTGGTGCAGTTTCACTTGTCACTGAATGAGATCCAAGCTAAAAACAAAGAAGCAAACGCATAAATGATTTTGCAGGTATGGTCATTTCTCACTTTGAAAAAAACTACAGTAGAAACATATGTTTATCCAAAGTGAAATGAAATAAAATGGGCCAACTAAGTAGTACAACTTCCCCAGCCCTATTTGCTACTTTTAACCAAAGAACTGTGGATTCCTCAGGAGTTAATTTACTCACTATGCATCCATCTTCCGAGCCAGGTTGCTCTTTTGTGTCATCTTGGTTACCCTTTGCCTTTTTAACATGTACAAGTGCTTCAGAGTTTCCATTAGCAGAAGGATTGTCTGTACAGTACACAAAATAAATTTGACATTTTAAAGACTAGGATTTTTGTGTGCTGAGGATTGAACCCTGGGCTTTATGTATATGCATAGTATGCACTCGATTACAGAGCTACACTCCCAAATCCTAGAAATAATTTTAAGGGTGTTTCTTTAAAATAATACAAAATGATTTAAGACAGTTTTATTTTAAAATGCTTAAAGTAACAGAAGACTCAAAACATTGATTATGTCAATTAACTTCTTAATTTGATTTACAGACATTAAAACTTTTGGGTTTTCAATATTGAGAAACAATTTGCTAAGCAATATTTGATTTTATATTAAAAACTATTTGTTCTGCTATAATAACATTTAATGTGCCAAAAAAATTCAGAATAGGAAATTGAGGTGAATTCATCAAATCAGACAAGGAAGCCTCACCACTTTGAAGGTTCCTTTCTTTGGACTTCGTTTTACCATTTAAGGGTGGGTGACGGCAAGATGCAGGAGAAAGAGTTGGTGTTTGAATGGTCAAAATATCTGAAGGCTAAGAGAAATACAAAATACCTTGTGACTTACTAAATTTAAGATCAATTTTATAAAACATTTAGTAATGTATTAATTTCCATCTTAATTTAAAAAATTTCCCCTCTTTCCTCACCTGGCTTTGGCCTACTGAAGAAGTACAAAAGACTCTCAGTTTATATGTAGTACCAGGTTTCAAATTGTCATATAAAAATTCCTTTGTGGGGCCAGTGTAGATTGTATTCCAGAGATTTTCTGAAGGTATAAAAGCAAATTTATCCAATTTATTTTTATAGGTCACATAAATTTTATAGGTCCTCATGATACATTATATATGTACTCAGTAGTAACTGTTTTGGAAATTAATGATTCAATTCTCAATATAGTTAAATAATTGAATTGCAAGTAGAATTAACCATAAAATCATGAGATGTCAGTAAGTAAACATGATTTGTTATCAAGAAATCCAAGCTCTGGGATTTAGTTAATAGGACTGTACCAATGCTAATTTCCTGATTTTGGTTATTGCAATATGGTTATCTTAAGATAATAATATTAGGAGAAGCCAAGTGAAAAGTTTACATGTGAAATCTCTATACCATTTTTATAACTTCTAGGTAAAGTCTAATATTATTTCAAAATAAAATCTTTAAACATGATGAAGTCTTACCATTTGAATTTTCACTAATTTCTAAACTATAGCTTGAAATGTTTGTTCCACCATTATCTTTGGGTGATTCTGGAAGGAGATATAAAATTAACTTGAAAAAGCTTGATAAACTTATAAGTGTTTCACTGGAATTTTATCTCACAATTTAATTTTTTCACAGAGGAAAAAACAAAATTAAACTTTTTGAATTAATATACAAATATTAAAAAAAGATTATAAACTATAGTACAAGTTGCATGCTAAGATATTGGCCATAAAGCATTTAAATAATATTTTAAATGCTAGTTGGAAGAGACTGAAATGTCAAGTATATGTGTCATAAAAATTCATTTCTCTAGTTTTGAGTCAAAAATATTTGTATAAATATAATTTCTTGTCAAGGTGATATTTATCATTGATGTGGCCTTCTGAATGTGGCCTCTTAGATGTAATTTTACTTGGAATAAGCATAATATTTAATAACTCATAAAATTCAACAATTTTTTCATGTGTGAATTAATGATACAGCAATAGAAAATTCAAAAGAAAACCAGAAACAATATGGTTTACACCTAAGTTCATTATATGGCAGAATATTTCATTTAAAAATGATTTAGACAATATTTTATAAAGTTGAGGGCAATTAAAAGAAGATTTGCTCTGAAAAGTGAAGACAGAAAGAGCAAAATTTAAATACGTTAACATTACTTACCCCAGCCGATTTTCACTCTGTGTGCATGGATCTTTCCCCTTATGTGTGGTTTTCTAGGTGGCCCAGGCTTATCTGGACAGGTAGTATATTTTACTTCCGCACTGGGGTTACTTCTTCCTTCCATATTGTAGGCAAACATCTATTTGAGTAAAAGAGAATTCCTTGCTTGACCATTGGAAATAAATGTCTAGTTTTGTAGTGTACGGTTTGCAAATAAAAAGCAAGTTATTTGAGTGAGAATTTCTAAGAACTAAATGCTAAATAGTTTCAAAGAAAAAAGACTCATTGTCTCCTTTTTTTTTTTTGGTACCAGGGATTGAACTCAGGGGCACTGGACCACTGAGCCACATTCCCAGCCCTATTTTATATTTTATTTAGAGACAGGGACTCACTGAGTTGCTTAGTGCCTCACCATTGCTTAGTGCCTCACCATTGCTGAGGCTGGATTTGAACTGTGATCCTCCTGTCTCAGCCTCTCAAGCGGCCAGGATTATAGATGTGCACCACAGCACCTGGCTAACTCTCATTATCTCTAGTGAAGAGTATTATTTTATGTTAAAATATGACACAAATATATAAATTATATCTACATACCCTAAACTTGTATGTAGTACTTCTCTGAAGATTTCTTATAGTGTATGAGAGGTCTTCTCCATTGTATTTAGGTTTAAAACCTAATGCCTGGAAATGAAAGATGATGAATTTAGGAATCAGGAAGGCCTGGGTTCAAGTTCTAACATTTTATTTTCCAGCTAGATAGTGCTGATCAAGTTCCTTAGTCTTTCTGAACCTTCATATCTCCATATTAAAAGATAGAGATGATTTTTTTTTCTTTGAAGGGTTTCTCCTACTTTTCAGATTTAGTAAGATTATATATGTGAAAGCACTTTGCATACTTCTTGCAATATAAAACACTTTTCAATGTTAGCTGCTTTATTTCAACTGTGGTAAAATATTCACAACAATTTATAGCTACTTTTGAAATTGACTAGCCTTGTTGGTATAGATTTGAAAGTTCAGAATGAAATAAAATAATTGCCCACCCACATCAGGAATCTAAGAAGACAAAGAAAGGACATAGCTTGATAGCATTATGTTAATGTGCTGAAAATCTGTGTGACCACTCAAGATCATTCAGAAGAGGCTTAAAGTTGAGGACACTAACACATTTCTTTGCGTCTCTATGTTGTCCTTACAGTGACTGCTACATTTAGCTAATTTGCAGGATTTGCATATTTGTTCAGGCTTGCATAATTCTGACTCTGCATTGATCTCATCCAGAGTACAGACTTGGGAATCATATAATCTCTGATTGAACTGAGTAGATAGTAAGCTAAACAAATTTAAATATTTTTCACGCAAGAAATGCATATAAAATGTACCTAACACTGAGGTTAAAGATTAAAACATGTAAACTTACACATCCAGCTTCTTCCATTTCTAGTACATAAGTAAGACTGTCATTTGGATTTGAGTTAGCTGGGGGACTCCATTCTAGTGACAAGCTATAGATTCCTGCTTTTTTTAGTTTAGGAGGTGAGGGTGTTGGAGGCATAGTTCCTGATGTATGAAAAACTGCTATTTCACTGAAGACACTGAAAAGTAGATTAAGGAGGATAAATTATTTTCAGGTTTTTATGGAAGGGCAGACTTTTAAATACTGTAAATAATTCAATGTACCTTGTGCCAAAGTTATTTTTGGCAGCTAATCTGAATGAATATTTTGTAGAAGCATTCAGTTTAAGGATCTTGTATTGTTTCATGGTACCCACATAACAACATTTGAAGTCTTCACCTTTACCCTTAATGATAGATACAAAGTATTAGAATATTATAAAATTAAGAACAAAATTCATCTTAACATTAGTAATTATTCACAACCAAATGTTTTTAAAGATAAAATTGTGTACCTCATCCCATTCCAAAAGGAAGCTGTTTATTTTGGAACCATTTTCATTGGAACCCTAGAAATATCAGAAAGATAAAATTATGATCAGCTGTTTTTACATATGTTGCATACATATGTATATACATTTAAAATGACATAAATTACTGTGAATGAATCTTCTTATATTGTTTTTAAAGCAATCCTAATTTTAAAGTTAAAATGCATTTTTTACATTCTATAAGACATGTCTAGATTCTATGCTTTGTTGTGTTTTCCAAATTATATACAAAGAAGAAAATTAATACTTAATTAAATTGTGAGGTAAATTTATTGGTAACTATAATTGTAAATAACTAAATTTAGGTTGTAGAAATTAGTTCTTCAGCTTCATTAACAAAATTCTTATTGACATTTCTAACTTTACTTGAAACTTGATGCAGATAGAAGAGAAGGATTATTGTATAGAAAAAGTTCTAGGGAAAGAGGTCAGATGAGGCATGCATAAATTCACATTTAAAATTAAAGATATGGTAAAAAGAGCATTTTAAAATTGTGTTTTGTAAGTACAATCCTTACTTTCCACTGTAAATTCAGGCTACTCTTGGATCGGTTAATCAGTTTGGGTGCAAGTGGAGGGTCTGGTTCACAGCCTGGTGTTGTGAAGCTAGCCACTTCAGACATAGTTCTGTGTCCCGAGCCTCTTATGGTTGTAACTCTAAAAATGTAATGACAATTGTAAAAATTTCCAAATACTTATTCTAACGCATGTATTAAATCACAAACTCGGATTTCCAGACACATTTCTTAACAGCTAATTATAAAAAATTTACTAATAGAACACAGCTGGGTCCTTGCAGATACTAATTCCAAAAGCACTCTCTCATCTGTCTTAAATGAAAAAGTGAACTAATGCTGGATTTGGAGTGGTTATTTTGAAGTTTGAAGGAAAGCCCACTTTGCTGGCAAATAGTTAGGTTGGTTGCAGAAATTTTAAGTAGTGAACTGGTTCAAACTGGTAAGTTTGGCTGGCTACAGGCTGTGTGGGTAGATTGTGTAAGATGGAATTCTTACCTTAAAAAATAGGCCATGGATGGCTGTAGATCACATAGGGTAAATATAACTCCATTACCACTGTAAAAAGAGCGTTTTTAAGTAATGTATCTCACACATATTTTTAAAAAATATATGCTAAGTAGAGCAGTCCTAATCTTATCAATCAAACCATAAATCGCCCTGAAGTTTCAATAAATTTAACCCATTTTAGATGCATCAAAAGGTGGTATCAACTTCTATTCAATTTAGTCCTCGAAATACTAGCCAGAGCAATTAGACAGACAAAAGAAATTAAAGGCATAAAAATAGGAAAAGAAGAACTTAAATTATC